TTTGTAGATGAATGGTTCAGAGAACCGACATGTTGAGGGACTGATTACCTCATTCTCCTCCTGTTCTTCAAGTTTCTCCTATGTATGGACTGATGAAGCCACTGTGTGGCGAAACGTTTCCTCAATAAAGATACCCAAGAGTTGCACATGTGTCTAATTTACCTACCAGGCCACGAGCCTCCAATTACAGTGGTGTTACGTGTTCGTGGAATGGGTGTTCTTGTAGTGGTGGTTCAGAGTTCGACAGGCAGTGGTGGGCGTCCTTTAGTGCAGATGTTACCTTGGACTTACTGGCTTGACTTTTAATACACCCAAGTATCTTCCAGGTATACCAGCTGTGTCGCCCTTGTCTGCTGATAGGTCCCTGCAGGTTTAGTGTGCTGCGTGATGTTATGTGCATGTGTGTGTATTATGGTGTTCACTGTCAGCTATGTCGTTCGTGTAAAGGGTGTACAACTGTACAGAGTAAGGGTGTACAACTGTACAGAGTAAGAGTGTACAACTGTACAGAGTAAGAGTGTACAACTGTACAGAGTAAGGGTGTACAACTGTACAGAGTAAGGGTGTACAACTGTACAGAGTAAGGGTGTACAACTGTACAGAGTAAGGGACAGTACTCAGCCTTGGAGGACTCCCGCCTGAAGAGTGAAGAGCAAAGTGGTGACCCGGCCTTGGCTCCCTATCTGGTGATTATCTCGAGACCTAAGTCTCCCATGGGAGGAGGTACAAGTACCCCCTCATCTTTGGGACCAAGTGTCCCCAGGCCTAGCCACATTCCCCGCCCTCACGGGGCTCGTAGGCCTCTGGTCGACCATCTGCCCCGCCCCACAAAGGAGCTCGTAGGGATGGCAGTCCTGTGTGCTGCAGGTGATAGTAAACTCAGGCCATCAAGAGATAGGTTGTACTTCAGCCCTGCATGCCAGACCGTGATGAATGCTTTCTTCACGTCTTTAACAACCACGGCTGTTGAACATGGCTGATCCTTATTGATTAGAATGTCCAGAATGATATATACGGCTTCTTCGTTGAACGGTGCTGGTGGAGGCCAAACTGTTGGTCAGTCAGGGGGTAGTTAATGTCTAGGTGAGTCCTGTTGGTCAGTCAGGGGGTAGTTAATGTCTTAGGTGAGTCCTGTGGTCAGTCGAGGGGTGGGTAGTTAATGTCTAGGTTGAGTCTGTATTGTCAGTCAGGGGGTAGTTAATGTCTAGGTGAGTCCTGTTGGTCAGTCAGGGGGTAGTTAATGTCTAGGTGAGTCCTGTTGGTCAGTCAGGGGGTAGTTAATGTCTAGGTGAGTCCTGTTGGTCAGTCAGGGGGTAGTTGGTAGTTTATGTCTAGCGTGAGTTCCTGTTGGTCAGTCAGGGGGTAGTTAATGTCTAGGTGAGTCCTGTTGGTCAGTCAGGGGGTAGTTAATGTCTAGGTGAGTCCTGTTGGTCAGTCAGGGGGTAGTTAATGTCTAGGTGAGTCCTGTTGGTCAGTCAGGGGGTAGTTAGTTGGTCTAGGTTGAGTTCCTGTTGGGCAGGTCAGGGGGTAGTTAATGTCTAGGTGGTTCCTGGTTGGTCAGTCGGGGGTAGTTAATGTATAGGTGAGTTCTGTGGTCAGTCAGGGGGTAGTTAATGTCTAGGTGAGTCCTGTTGGTCAGTCAGGGGGTAGTTAATATCTAGGTGAGTCCAGAGTCTTGTCCTGGTCGTTGAAACGCCCTTCCCAGGGTTTCTAGTAGACTGGCAGCTCTATAGTTCCTCGGGTCAGTGTGGCAGTAGCAAGGCAGGTATTATATACATCAAGAGCCCCTCACCAGCATCAAGGAACCTCCCTGGAGGGTCCCTTGATCAAGAGCCCCTCACCAGCATCAAGGAACCTCCCTGGAGGGTCCCTTAATCAAGAGCCCCTCACCAGCATAAGGAACCTCCCTGGAGGGTCCCTTGATCAAGAGCCCCTCACCAGCATCAAGGAACCTCCCTGGAGGGTCCCTAGATCAAGATCCCCTCACCAGCATCAAGGAACCTTCCTGGAGGGTCTCTTGATCAAGAGCCCCTCACCAGCATCAGGACCTCCCTGGGGGTCCCTTGATCAAGAGCCCCTCACACATCAAGGACCTCCCTGGTGGGGGTTTGTAGGGAAGTTGAAGAATTAGGGGCTATACAAGAGGTTGAAAGTTGTGGTGCGCAAGTGGGATGTACTCACCTAATACACCTAATTGTGGTTACAGGGGCGAGGGGCGAGGGGCGAAGGGCGAGGGGCGAGGGGCGAGGGGCGAGGGGCGAGGAGCGAGGGCGAAGGGGCGAGGGGCGAGGGTGGGAGGGGGCAAAGGGCGAGTGGCGAAGGGGCGACCGGGGCGAGGGGCCCGACGGGCGCGAGGGGCGATGGGCGCCGAGGGGTGAGGGGCGAGGGGGCGAGGGGCGAGGGGCTAGTGGGGACAGGGCGAAGAATAGATGGTGAGAGGAATGTGTTGAGTCGAGGAGAGAAGAGTCACGACTAGATCCAACTGCTAAGTCTGGAAAACACTGACGAAGACGATGTAGAAGGCACTGGAACTCTGCAGAGGCTGACTGCACCTTCCTGGATGGAAGAAACTGAGACTTACTGGTGACAGTTGGCTGCAGGGGACAAGAGAGGAGCTCGTCGTTGATTGATCAGGTTATGGTGTTAGGCTGTTACTTCGAGTTGCGACGTTGTTTAACAATTTCTAGCGTCCTGATACCAGATCCAATGCGACGGTCTGGAGTTTTGAGACTCTCTGACCACGGGTTCAATCCCGCCCGTGGTATGGTTTGTTTGCAGTCGTGTCATTACGATTTCGTGAGTCACCACATCCATTAACAAGACGTTTAAATCGTTGGAGCGGGAGGATCATGAGATGTGTTAGCAAGTGTTGATTGCAGGGATGCTGAGAGCGATCTTGAATGATCTCTAGGAGATTAGAAAGTGTAATTATACCAGCACCAGGATCGATGGTAAACTTGACAGTCTTGTTAGTGTGTTTTACCTGGAGTTTACCTGGAGAGAGTTCCGGGGGTCAACGCCCCCGCGGCCCGGTCTGTGACCAGGCCTCCTGGTGTAGTTCAGATAACAGTCTATCTTGACCGTAGTGAACTGTGGTGTAGAGGGTGATTACTTTCCATGGACAATAAGAGTCATCATCAGGAACTGGATCACGTCGAGGGTCGTAAGATGGTGTTGTTGGCACGGGTTTAGCCCTCTTGGCAGGCGGAGGTGAAGACTCGATGTTGGCTTCAGTAGACGAGGAGGAAGATGTTGCTGGTGGCAAGGTCTGTGATTGGTGGGTTTCCATGGGGGAGTGATGGTGGTAGAGGCTTCTCATTGGTTGTTGTTGGAGTGACCTCACTAGTTGGCAGAGATGGAGGAGTTACCGAGGAAGCTGAGGTGGCGACTAAGTCTTCCGTGAATTTGAGAATATCTGCCGAAGGTGAAGCTGGAAATACAAACGATGGCATGTTGTTCAAGGCGAATTGCTCGTTAGTGGTGGTGTTGAAGGATCCAGGTACAGCCATATTCTGTACACGAGCATATAGCAGACAGTAGTTGATCTTCCGTTAAGACAGTATGGTGGAGAGGGCGGTGTTCTGTAGAAGACTTGAAGGATTTGTAGTATCTTTCCTGCAACTTTGCAATTGGTCATGCGTTGGTGACTTGGAAGATGATTTTTCTGCCTGTATCTTGAGTATTCTTAATATGTCCTTTCTCTAACAGGACATTTTGCTGCATAGAGTGTGGATGGATCATTGCTTTTGCAATTTAAAATTAAGTTGGTGGAGACGGAAGCAGTCGGCGGTACAGGAACCTAAAAGATGGTCCCTCACTACCTCATGTTGTACAGATCAGAATAACAGTTCCAGCAATGTTGGATGTAGTGAAATCTTTCAGCTTCGATGTAGGTGGGCTGACGAATGTGGCCCAAGTGGCCCTGTGGGCCCGGGGCCTGATGGTTTAATGCTTCGCTTCACTCATGGTGGGCAGGGTTCGTTCCCGGCGGGTGGAAACATTTCGACACGTTTCCTTACACCTGTTGTCCTGTTCACCTAGCAGCAAATAGGTACCTGGGTGTTAGTGGACTGGTGTGGGTGGGCATCCTGGGTGAACAAGATTAAGGACCCCAATGGAAATAAGTTAGACAGTCCTCGATGACGCACTGACTTTCTTGGCTTATCCTGAGTGGCTAACCCTCCAGGGTTAAAAATCTGAACGAAATATTATCTTAATACACAGAAAGACGTGGCAGCCACGGCTGCCATGTTCATCAGTGAAGGTCACCTTGAGCATGGACGATGTATCTGGGATTTTTGTGTTGTTAACAGTACCTCAAGTATTTTGAGTTTCAATAGACGAGTTGAGTTCAGAAATTGGTAGAGAAGTGACGATCTTGTGTAGTTTCTTCAGGAAAACTGACGTCCTGTCAGCCGTAAGTCACCAATGATTTAAATAAGTTGACCCCTCAAGGAAGGTTCCTTGTTGGTGGTGAGGGGCTCTTGATTTAGGGAATTGGATCTGTGCTCCAGTTCCCCGAATTAAGCCTGAATGCCTTCCACATCCCCCCCCCCCCGCAGGTACTGTATAATCCTCCGGGTTTAACGCTTCCCCCATGATTATAATACAGTGGACCCCCGCATAACGATTACCTCCAAATGCGACCAATTATGTAAGTGTATTTATGTAAGTGCGTTTGTACGTGTATGTTTGGGGGTCTGAAAGGAATAATCTACTTCACAATATTCCTTATGGGAATAAATTCGGTCAGTACTGGCACCTGAACATACTTATGGAGTGAAAAAATATCGTTAACTGGGGGTCCACTGTAATAATAATTTAGATAAGTTGAACCAATATTTCTAAAAACACTTTTGATGTAATATCTTTTAACTGAATGAATATATTTTTGTCTATTATTTTTAATAGATGGAGAAATATAATAGACAAAATCTGACAGATAGATAAATTGTAGAAAACAATAGATACAATAAATTAATTCATTATTTTCTCCAACAGGAAGACGATTTTAAAAGGGATAACTTCTGTAGAAGCGACGAATGGAGGTGTTGGAGAGATGGAGGAGAATAATGGAGGAGAGAGGGAGGTGGAGGAGAGGAAAGAAGGAAGACAAGACGACTTGATGGAGGAGAATAATGGAGGAGAGAGGGAGGTGGAGGAGAGGAAAGAAGGAAGACAAGACGACTTGATGGAGGAGAATAATGGAGGAGAGAGGGAGGTGGAGGAGAGGAAAGAAGGAAGAAAAGACGACTTGATAATGGGCAATAACAGAGGCAACGATAATCAAGGTAATTATATTATTATTATGATTATTATTATTATTATTATTATTATTATTATTATTATTATCATTATTATTGTTTATAAGACAACAGGAACTTGATAACGTTATATTTCAGGTGAGAGACGAAGCTCCAGCTCCTGGTCCAGGACCTTACTGCAGGAGCTGACCTTTATGACCACCCAACTACCAGTGAGTCTTATTATATACCCTAGCATATATACCACAGTATATATACCACAGCATACATACCACAGTACATATCACAGCATATATACCACAGTACATATCACAGCATATATACCACAGTGTCATGTGGGTTTCGAAAACGTGGATAGGGTAAGAATACTCACGTAGGTTGGTAGTACGTATAATATAACGGAAAGTGTGGGAAAGCGCCAACAGCCGTCCTGCCTCTCTCTGCTCCCTAGCCTGACTGACCCATGAGTGCCTAAGGGTGAGGGTGGTTGAAATCCTGCTATGGTCAGCAGCAATATGAATTCAGTCAGTGATTCACGCAGAGACGGTTGGTAGTGAGTCATCTACTGGTACACTGGTTACTGGTAACTGGTTACTAGGAACTGGTACTACTACTGAGAGCTCGGCGACGCTAACATATGTCGTCCCGACATACAACTAATACAAACTAGAGATGGCAGGTACACGGCTTGGGCTGATTCTATACAATGTCAAAGTACACAACAATTGATTATAACATACATAAGTAGAATATTGGAATGGAAGCTTACGTAACTGAAACTGTAATGCAATACAAGGTATAATATAGCACAACTCATCGAATGAAACTCAACGGTGAGATTACACAATAGAAGTCATAAAAAAAAATTTGATCGATCGATCTGTATTCATGTGATCTACAGATTCTGAGGAAGGAATATATACAAAGAAAGGTTTAACAGAAAGGCAGATTCGGTGCACTCAAATCTAGACTGTTAACTCTCAGAATTCGGAGAGAACGTGAGCACAAAAAAAAAATTCTTGAACACTGATACGTTGATACTGTAATTATTCATCTATACAGGTTATTTACATTTAACCCCAACTCTGCTAGGGTGAGATTGACATATGCAGAATGGGTGTCATCTCTGGGAGGATCAAACTCTGTTGCACTGGCTAACTCATGCTGTATTTGAGGCAAATCTGAATTGGAAGTAACAAATGATACTTGAGGATTTCTCAATACCTTTCGTGTACGTAGGGAATAACGACATTCAGGTGATCGCTGACTGAGTATCAGGGGTAGAGAGTACAGGATCAGGAGGATTGTCAGAGTCTGTCACATTAGTCTGGGTTGGAACATCATTATCATCACATACTAACTTCATATGATCCAAATGCGCATCTTTATACTGACCAGTACTAATCTCTCTAACCTTATACTTATTACCAGTGATATGTTCAACTACTCGATAAGGACCAACAAACTTTTGATCAAGCTTAGGCATTGCAGACGTTTTGTTAAAGTTAGTCAGCATAACTCTCGAACCTACTTTGATTTTGGATGACTTTGCTCGAGTGTTTGCGACTCTTGTAAATTCTGCTGTTGATTTATGATGTGTTTCACGGATTCTTCTAAAGACACTTTGAGCTAAGCTGGTGCGAGTTGCTATTAAATCATCAGGGTTGTACCACAGTACATATACCACAGTACATATACCACAGTACATATACCACAGTACATATACCACAGTACATATACCACAGTACATATACCACAGTACATATACCACAGTACATATACCACAGTACATATACCACAGTACATATACCACAGTACATATACCACAGCATATATACCACAGCATATATACCACAGTACATATACCACAGTACATATACCACAGCATATATACCACAGCATATATACCACAGCATATATACCACAGCATATATACCACAGTACATATACCACAGCATATATACCACAGTACATATACCACAGCATATATACCACAGCATATATACCACAGCATATATACCACAGCATATATACCACAGTACATATACCACAGCATATATACCACAGCATATATACCACAGCATATATACCACAGTACATATACCACAGCATATATACCACAGCATATATACCACAGCATATATACCACAGAACATATACCACAGCATATATACCACAGCATATATACCACAGAACATATACCACAGCATATATACCACAGCATATATACCACAGTACATATACCACAGCATATATACCACAGCATATATACCACAGCATATATACCACAGAACATATATACCACAGCATATATACCACAGCATATATACCACAGAACATATACCACAGCATTATATACCACAGTACATATACCACAGCATATATACCACAGCATATATACCACAGCATATATAACCACAGCATATATACCACAGAACATATACCACAGCATATATACCACAGCAATATATACCACAGCATATATACCACAGAACATATACCACAGCATATATACCACAGCATATATACCACAGAACATATACCACAGCATATATACCACGGTACATATACCACAGCATATATACCACAGCATATATACCACAGCATATATACCACAGCTTATATACCACAGAACATATACCACAGCATATATACCAACAGCATATATACCACAGCATATATACCACAGCATATATACCACAGCATAATACCACAGAACATATACCACAGCATATATACCACAGCATATATACCACAGCATATATACCACAGCATATATACCACAAATAACATATACCACAGCATATATACCACAGCATATATATCACAGTACATTTGCCACAGCATATATACCACAGCATATATACCACAGAACATATACCACAGCATATATACCACAGCATATATACCACAGCATATATACCACAGTACATATACCACAGCAATATAACCACAGCATATATATTACACAGTACATTTGCCACAGCATATATACCACAGCATATATACCACAGCATATATACCACAGCATATATACCACAGCATATATACCACAGCATATATACCACAGCATATATACCACAGACATATACCACAGCATATATACCACAGCATATATACCACAGCATATATACCACAGCATATATACCACAGCATATATACCACAGTACATATACCACAGCATATATACCACAGCATATATACCACAGCATATATACCACAGCATATATACCACAGCATATATACCACAGCATATATATCACAGTACATTTGCCACAGCATATATACCACAGCATATATACCACAGAACATATACCACAGCATATATACCACAGCATATATACCACAGCATATATACCACAGCATATATACCACAGTACATATACCACAGCATATATACCACAGCATATATACCACAGCATATATACCACAGCATATATACCACAGCATATATACCACAGCATATATACCACAGCATATTATACCACAGCATATATACCTACAGTACATATACCACAGCATATATACCACAGCATATATACCACAGCATATACATATCCATCATGCATATATACCACATTAACATTATACCTACAGCATATATACCACAGTACATATACCACAGCATATATACCACAGCATATATACCACAGCATATATACCTACAGTACATATACCACAGCATATATACCACAGCATATATACCACAGCATTATACCACAGCATATATACCACAGCATATATTACCACAGTACATATACCACAGCATATATACCACAGCATATATACCAACAGCATATATACCACAGTACATTATACCACAGCATATATACCACAGCATATGATACCACAGCATATATACCACAGCATATATACCACAGCATATTACCACAGTACATATACCACAGCATATATACACAGCATATATACCACAGCATATATACCACAGCATATATACCACAGCATATATACCACAGCATATATACCACAGCATAAAAACCACAGCATATATACCACAGCATATATACCACAGCATATATACCACAGCATATATACCACAGCATATATACCACAGCATATATACCACAGTACATATACCACAGCATATATACCACAGCATATATACCACAGCATATATACCACAGCATATATACCACAGCATATATACCACAGCATATATACCACAGCATAAAAACCACAGCATATATACCACAGCATATATACCACAGAACATATACCACAGCATATATACCACAGCATAAAAACCACAGCATATATACCACAGCATATATACCCCAGAATATATACCTCAGCATATATACCTGGAGTTTACCTGTAGAGAGTTCCGGGGGTCAACGCCCCCGCGGCCCGGTCTGTGACCATGCCTCCTGGTGGATTAGAGCCTGATTAACCAGGCTGTTACTGCTGGCTGCACACAATCCAACGTACGAGCCACAGCCCGGCTGGACAGGTACCTCAGTATATATATCCCAGCATATATACCCAGCATACATACCACAGCACCCCAGCATATATACCAAGCATACATACCACAGCACCTCAGCATATATACCCCAGAATATATACCTCAGCTTACATACCCAAAATATATACCTCAGCATATATACCCCACCATATATAACCAGCATACATACCACAGCACCCCAGCATATATCCCCCAGAATATATACCACAGCTACATACCACAGCATATATACCTCAGCATATATTACCACAGCATATATACCCCAGCATATATTACCACATATATACTCCAGCATATATACCACAGCACATCAGCATATATACCCCAGCATATATACGTCTCTCAATATACACAAATGTAGCGGCTTCAATATACTCATGATATATACCTGGTATATCTGGCTGACAGGTGTGGGTGGTTGATGTGGGTGACGGTCGTGTGCCGCCCACAGTGGGCGGTGCAGGCGTGTGTAACCTGACCACCCACGCCCACGCCCATGGTTACCTCGCTGACCTGGCTCTGAATATCCTCAGGTACGTATATACCTGGTTAATGTATATACCAGATTATTAGTATATATGCCTGGCTCTGTATATTCTCAGGTATGTATATGCCTGGCTCCTAGTGTATATACCTGGTTCTGTATATCCGCAGGCATGTATATACCTGATTATTGTATATACCTGCTCCTAGTGTATATACCTGGTTCTGTAGATCCGAAGGCGTGTATATACCTGGTTATTATTGTATATACCTGGTTATGCATATACCTAGCTCTGTATAACCACATGTATGTATATACCTGGTAATTGGGGCATATACCCACTCTGTATATCCTCAGGCATGTATATACCAATGTATACCCTTCAGGCATGTATGTATATACCTGGTTATTAGAGTATATACCTGGTTAATAGTGCATATCTGGCAGTCTATATCCCCAGGTGCATGTATACCTGGCTGTTTAATTATAATCAAAAAGAAGCGCTAAACCACAAGGGCTATACAGTACCTGGCTCTGTATATCTTCTAGTATGCATATACCTGGCTACTAGTTAATATACCTGGCGGTGTATATCCTCAGGTACATATATATCTTATTAGCACATATACCTGGCTGTGAATATCCCCAGGTACATATATACCGGCATACATACCACTCAGGGAGAGCTCTAGACCCACAAGGATCACATAGCTACTAAATTAAGTAGAATATTGGCCTCTAAGAACTACTGCCTGAGTCATGGTCAATGTGCCTTCTTCTAATAGTAATTGTATCTTAATTATGATAATAATCATTGCAGGAGGACCTTTGTAGCAGCTCTGGCTAAAGATGACTTCAGCAGAAATCTGCTGAACCAAGCAGGAATATCAGCAGGAACCTGCTAAACCAAGTATATATATATATATATATATATATATATATATATATATATATATAATATTATATATATATATATATATATATATATATATATATATATATACAGTGGACCCCCCGCTTAACGATCACCTCCAAATGCGACCAATTATGTAAGTGTATTTATGTAAGTGCATTTGTACGTGTATGTTTGGGGGTCTGAAATGGACTAATCTACTTTACAATATTACTTATGGGAAAAAATTCGGTCAGTACTGGCACCTGAACATACTACTGGAATGAAAAAAATTCGTTAACCGGGGGTCCACTGTATACTGGTCAATTAGCAAGAACTCATTTAAAATTAAGTCCTTTCTGAAATTTTCTCTTATATGTTTAAAGATATATTTTTTCATTAATGTTAATTTAAAAATTTATAATTTTGGACCAAAAGAATCTTAGAAAACTGACCTAACCTTATTATAACAAGAACAATTTATTTTAGCCTAACCCAACTAAATATATTTTAGATTTGTTTACAATAATTTAATACTAAACAAACACAGTGAAATATATTTTTTTCATTAGGTTCAGAATGATTTTGGCAAAATTATTACATACACAAATTTTCACTTGTCCTATATGGCAAGATGAGCGTTGCTATTTAAGCCAAGATTGCAAGTTCTGCCTATTCGGCACGACATATATATATATATATATATGATTGTGTGTGGTGCTGAATAGGTAAAACTTGTGATTTTGGCTTAAATAGCAATGCTCTTCTTGCCGAATAAGGGAAGCGAAAATTTGTGTATGCAATAATTTCTCAAAAATTAATCTGAACCTAGCAAAAAATATATAAACTTATCTAAACTATATTTAGTTAGATTAGGCTAAATTAAATAGTTCTTGTTATAATAAGGTAAGTTTTCTAAGGTTCTTTTGGTAAAAAATTATTAATTTTTACATTAACATAAATGAAAAATATATATCTTTAAAAGTATAAGAGAAAATTTTAGAAAGGACTTAAACGAGTTCTTGCTAATTGACCAATTTTATTTATTTGGCATGACATACATATTGCAAGCTCCTGATGAAGTATTGCCAGGCGAAAGGCCTCATAATATGGGAGTCTGGGAGACTTGATAATACGGAGCTGCCTCGGCATTATTATTGTGAGGGTATTAGTGGTGTGGAGGGGTTGGTGCTGGTGCCTTGGACAAAGAGCTTTCATGGTTATATTGTGTTTTAGCGTCAATAAAGAGAATGGTGTTTTCTGTGTTTTATTTTGTATTAACCAGTGTTTACTGCATGTATATACTGAGTGGTGTGTATATCTCAGTGTATATACACACTGTGTATCTCAGTGTATATACACACTGTGTATCTCAGTGTATATACACACTGTGTATCTCAGTGTATATACACACTGTGTATCTCAGTGTATATACACACTGTGTATCTCAGTGTATAAACACACTGTGTATCTCAGTGTATATACACACTGTGTATCTCAGTGTATATACACACTGTGTATCTCAGTGTATATACACACTGTGTATCTCAGTGTATATACACACTGTGTATCTCAGTGTATATACACACTGTGTATCTCAGTGTATATACACACTGTGTATCTCAGTGTATATACACACTGTGTATCTCAGTGTATATACACACTGTGTATCTCAGTGTATATACACCACTGTGTATCTCAGTGTATATACACACTGCGTATCTCAGTGTATATACACACTGTGTATCTCAGTGTATATACACACTGTGTATCTCAGTGTATATACACACTGCGTATCTCAGTGTATATACACATGTTTTATCTCAGTGTATATTACACACTGTGTATCTCAGTGTATATACACACTGTGTATCTCAGTGTATATACACACTGTGTATCTCAGTGTATATACACACTGTGTATCTCAGTGTATATACACACTGTGTATCTCAGTGTATATACACACTGTGTATCTCAGTGTATATACACACTGTGTTTTCTCAGTGTATATAACACTGTGTATCTCAGTGTATTACACACTGTGTATCTCAGTGTATATACACACTGTGTATCTCAGTGTATATACACAGTTATGAACATAAGTGTTGGTATGTATAAACTTGAACAATGCAGTTTTTTTCTGTCATTATAGTGAAAACAAAGCACTAAACCCACAAAGGTCACACAGTACATGTTCTCTGACAGTTTAACCTCATGCTGGACAAATTTATGTATACCCGGACTCGATGTTAACAATTGTTCAAGTTTATATATACCAAGACTCGCATTCACAACTGTTCATATATACTAAGACTCACGTTCACAATTCAAGTTTATATATACCTGCACTCACGTTGACAATTGATCAAGTTTATATATACCAGGACTTATGTTGACAATTGTTCAAGTTTATATATACCAAGAATCATATTCACAATTTTTCAAGTTTATATATACCCAGACTCATGTTCACAATTCAAGTATAGGTTGTTTCAAATAGACCCAATTTCAAAGCAGTTTTCTTTGAAACTGAGTTTATTAATTTGAAACCTGTATATACCAGCACTCGCTTTTGCATTTCTCCCATTTGTATGTATTTGTGTATATATATACACCAATGGATTTGACAGAGTTATTAAATGGAGAGTTAGAGGTAACAGGAAGATGGAGGGAATATTTTGAGGAATTGTTAAATGTTGATGAAGATAGGGAAGCTGTGATTTCGTGTATAGGGCAAGGAGGAATAACATCTTGTAGGAGTGAGGAAGAGCCAGTTGTGAGTGTGGGGGAAGTTCGCGAGGCAGTAGGTAAAATGAAAGGGGGTAAGGCAGCCGGGATTGATGGGATAAAGATAGAAATGTTAAAAGCAGGTGGGGATATAGTTTTGGAGTGGTTGGTGCAATTATTTAATAAATGTATGGAAGAGGGTAAGGTACCCAGGGACTGGTACAGTGCAAAAATTATAGGGGAATAAGACATGGGGAAGTGGTAAAGAATCTTTCCTCCATAAGCCATGCGTGTCGTATGAGGCAACTAAAATGCCAGGAGCAATGGGCTAGTAACCCCTTCTCCTGTAGACATTTACTAAAAAAGACAAGAAGAAAAACTTTATAAAACTGGGATGCTTGAATGTGCGTGGATGTAGTGCGGATGACAAGAAACAGATGATTGCTGATGTTATGAATGAAAAGAAGTTGGATGTCCTGGCCCTAAGCGAAACAAAGCTGAAGGGGGTAGGAGAGTTTCAGTGGGGGGAAATAAATGGGATTAAATCTGGAGTAGCTGAGAGAGTTAGAGCAAAGGAAGGGGTAGCAGTAATGGTAAATGATCAGTTATGGAAGAAGAAAAGAGAATATGAATGTGTAAATTCAAGGATTATGTGGATTAAAGTAAAGGTTGGATGCAAAAAGTGGGTCATAATAAGCGTGTATGCACCTGGAGAAGAAAGGATGTAGAGGAGAGAGAGAGATTTTGGGAGATGTTAAGTGAATGTATAGGAGCCTTTGAACCAAGTGAGAGAGTAATTGTGGTAGGGGACCTGAATGCTAAAGTAGGAGAAACTTTTAGAGAGGGTGTGGTAGGTAAGTTTGGGGTGCCAGGTGTAAATGATAATGGGAGCCCTTTGATTGAACTTTGTATAGAAAGGGGTTTAGTTATAGGTAATACATATTTTAAGAAAAAGAGGATAAATAAGTATACAAGATAGGATGTAGGGCGAAATGACAGTAGTTTGTTGGATTATGTATTGGTAGATAAAAGACTGTTGAGTAGACTTCAGGATGTACATGTTTATAGAGGGGCCACAGATATATCAGATCACTTTCTAGTTGTAGCTACAATGAGAGTAAAAGGTAGATGGGATACAAGGAGAATAGAAGCATCAGGGAAGAGAGAGGTGAAGGTTTATAAACTAAAAGAGGAGGCAGTTAGGGTAAGATATAAACAGCTATTGGAGGATAGATAGGCTAAAGAGAGCATAGGCAATGGGGTTGAAGAGGTATGGGGTAGGTTTAAAAATGTAGTGTTAGAGTGTTCAGCAGAAGTTTGTGGTTACAGGAAAGTGGGTGCGGGAGGGAAGAGGAGCGATTGGTGGAATGATGATGTAAAGAGAGTAGTAAGGGAGAAAAAGTTAGCATATGAGAAGTTTTTTACAAAGTAGAAGTGATGCAAGGAGGGAAGAGTATATGGAGAAAGAGAGAGAGGTTAAGAGAGTGGTGAAGCAATGTAAAAAGAGAGCAAATGAGAGTGGGTGGGATGTTATCAGCAAATTTTGTTGAAAATAAGAAAAAGTTTTGGAGTGAGATTAACAAGTTAAGGAAGCCTAGAGAAAAAATGGATTTGTCCGTTAAAAATAGGAGAGGAGAGTTATTAAATGGAGAGTTAGAGGTATTGGGAAGATGGAGGGAATATTTTGAGGAATTGTTAAATGTTGATGAAGATAGGGAAGCTGTGATTTCGTGTATAGTGCAAGGAGGAATAACATCTTGTAGGAGTGAGGAAGAGCCAGTTGTGAGTGTGGGGGGAAATTCGTGAGGCAGTAAGTAAAATGAAAGGGGGTAAGGCAGCCGGGATTGATGGGATAAAGATAGAAATGTTAAAAGCAGGTGGGGATATAATTTTGGAGTGCTTGGTGCTAATATTTAATAAATGTATGGAAGAGGGTAAGGTACCTAGGGATTGGCAGAGAGCATGCATAGTTCCTTTGTATAAAGGCAAAGTGGACAAAGAGAGTGCAAAAATTATAGGGGGATAAGTCTGTTGAGTATACCTGGTAAAGTGTATGGTAGAGTTATTATTGAAAGAATTAAGAGTAAGAAGGAGAATAGGATAGCAGATGAACAAGGAGGTTTTAGGAAAGGTAGGGGGTGTGTGGACCAGGTGTTTATAGTGAAACATATAAGTGAACAGTATTTAGATAAGGCTAAAGAGGTTTTTGTGGCATTTATGGATTTGGAAAAGGCATATGACAGGGTGGATAGGGGGGCAATGTGGCAGATGTTGCAGATGTATGGTATAGGAGGTTGGTTACTGAAAGCAGTGAAGAGTTTTTACAAGGATAGTGAGGCTCAAGTTAGTGTGTGTAGGAAAGAGGGAGATTATTTCCCAGTAAAAGTAGGCCTTAGGCAAGGATGTGTGATGTCACCTTGGTTGTTCAATATATTTATAGATGGGGTTGTAAGAGAAGTAAATGCGAGGGTCTTGGCAAGAGGCGTGGAGTTAAAAGATAAAGAATCATACATAAAGTGGGAGTTGTCACAGTTGCTCTTTGCTGATGACACTGTGCTCTTGGGTGATTCTGAAGAGAAGTTGCAGAAGTTGGTGGATGAATTTGGTAGGGTGTGCAAAAGAAGAAAATTGAAAGTGAATACAGGAAAGAGTAAGGTTATTGAGGATAACAAAAAGATTAGGTGATGAAAGATTGGCTATCAGATTGGAGGGAGAGAGTATGGAGGAGGTGAATGTATTCAGATATTTGGGAGTGGACGTGTCAGCGGATGGGTCTATGAAAGATGAGGTGAATAATAGAATTGATGAGGGGAAAAGGGCGAGCGGTGCACTTAGGAGTCTGTGGAGACAAAGAACTTTGTCCTTGGAAGCAAAGAGGGGAATGTATGAGAGTATAGTTTTACCAATGCTCCTGTATGGGTGTGAAGCATGGGTGATGAATGTTGCAGCGAATAGAAGGCTGGAGGCAGTGGAGATGTCATGTCTGAGGGCAATGTGTGGTGTGAATATAATGCAGATAATTCGTAGTTTGGAAGTTAGGAGGAGGTGCGGGATTGCCAAAACTGTTGTCCAGAGGGCTGAGGAAGGGTTGTTGAGGTGATTTGGACATGTAAAGAGAATGGAACAAAACAGAATGACTTCAAGAGTGTATCAGTCTGTAGTGGAAGGAAGGTGGGGGAGGGGGAGGCCTAGGAAAGGTTGGAGGGAGGGGGGTAAAGGAGGTTTTGTGTGCGAGGGGCTTGGACTTCCAGCAGGCATGCGTGAGCGTGTTTGACAGGAGTGAATGGAGACAAATGGTTTTTAATACTTGATGTGCTGTTGGAGTGTGAGCAAAGTAACATTTATGAAGGGGTTCAGGGAAACCGGCAGGCTGGACTTGAGTCCTGGAGATGGGAAGTACAGTGCCTGCACTCTGAAGGAGGAGTGTTAATGTTGCAGTTTAAAAACTGTAGTGTAAAGCACCCTTCTGGCAAGACAGTGATGGAGTGAATGATGGTGAAAGTTTTTTTTTTTCAGGCCACCCTGCCTTGGTGGAAATCGGCCAGTGTGATAATAATAATAATAAAAAGACTGCTGAGTATACCTGGTAAAGTATATAGTAGAGTTATCATTGAAAGAATTAAGAGTAAAATGGAGAGCAGGTTAGCAGTCGAACAAGATTTTAAGAAAGGTAGGGAGTGTGTAGACCAGGTGTTGACAGTGAAACATATAGGTGAACAGTATGTAGATAAGGCTAAAGAGGCTTTTGTGACATTTATGGATTTGGAAAAGGCGTATGACAGGGTGGATAGGGGGGCAATGTGGCAGATGTTGCAGGTGTATGGAATAGGTTTCTGAAAGCAGTGAAGAGTTTTTATGAGGACAGTGAGGCTCAGGTTAGAGTATGTAGGAGAGAGGGAAATTATTTCCCAGCAAAAGTAGGCCTTAGACAAGGATGTGTGATGTCACCGTGGTTGTTTAATATATTTTTAGATTGGGTGGTAAGAGAAGCGAATACTCGTTTGCTGGCAAGAGGTGTGGGGTTAAAAGATTAAGAATCTAACACAAAGTGGGAGTTGTCACAGTTGCTCTTTGCTGATGACACTGTGCTTTTGGGAGATTTGGAAGAGAAATTGCAGAGGTTGGTGGATGAGTTTGGTAGGGTATGTAAAAGAAGAAAATTAAAAGCGAATATAGGAATGAGTAAGCAGATAAGGATAACAAAAAAATTAGGTGACCAAAGATTGGATATCAGATTGGAGGAAGAGAGTATGGAGGAGGTGAATGTATTCAGATATTTGGGAGTGGATGTGTCAGCAAATGGGTCTATGAAGGATGAGGTGAATCGTAGAATTGATAAAGGGAAAAAGGTGAGTGGTGCACTTAGGAGCTTGTGGAGACAAAGAACTTTGTTCGTGGAAGCAAAGAGGGGAATGCATGAGAGTATAATTATACCAACTCTTATATGGGTGTGAAGCATGGGTGGTGAATGTTGCAGCGAGGAGAAGGCTGGAGGCAGTGGAGATGTCATGTCTGAGGGCAATGTGTGGTGTGAATATAATGCAGAGAATTCGTAGTTTGGAAATTAGGAGGAGGTGCAGGATTACCGGAACTATTATCCAGAGAGCTGAGGAAGGGTTGTTGAGGTGATTCATACATGTAGAGAGAATGGAACAAAACAGAATGACTTCAAGGGTGTATAAATCTGTAGTGGAGGGAAGGTGGGGTAAGGGTCGGCCTAGGAAAAGTTGGAGGGAGGGGGTAAAGGTTTTGTGTGCGAGGGGCTTGGACTGCCAGCAAGCATGCGTGAGCGTGTTTGATAGGAGTGAATGGGGACAAATGGTTTTTAGGACTTGACGTGCTGTTGGAGTGTGAGCAAAGTAACATTTATGAAGGGATTCAGGAAAACAAGCAGGCCGGACTTGAGTCCTGGAGATGGGAAGTACAGTGTCTGCACTCTGAAGGAGGGGTGTTAATGTTGCAGTTTAAAAACTGTAGTGTAAAGCACCCTTCTGGCAAGACAGTGATGGAGTGAATGATGGTGAAAGTTTTTCTTTCTCGGGCATTGGTGGGAAACAGCCGATATGTTAATAAAAACATACACCAAGATATACAGAGAGGAGTGTATATTTATACATTGAGAGCTCAAAGTGTCTAATTTCAAAATCTAAAGTCTTCAAAAATAATAAAATACATTTTTTCTCTAAATTTATTAGAACTGACAAAGAATTACAATATACATCAAGTGCAAAAAAAAAAAAAAATGCAACAGAGATCTGTTGATTTCTGTTGACTGTTGTCTGGGTACTGTCTTCTTCCTTTCGTTATCTCCTGTTTGAGTGTTATTTCTTCCTGTTGTCTGGTTCATCCTTTTACTGTGTTCTGTGTTCCCTCCCTGTATTTTTCTTCTTCCTTGTGTTCTATGTTCACTTCCTATGTACTATGTTCACTCCCTGTGTTTTATGTTCATTCTCTGTGTACTATGTTTAGTTTCTGTGTTCTATGTTCACTCCCTGTGTACTATGCTCACTTCCTGTGTTCTACATTCACTTCCCATGTTCTACATTCACTTCCCATGTTCTACATTCACTTCCCATGTTCTACATTCACTTCCCATGTTCTACATTCACTTCCCATGTTCTACATTCACTTCCTGTGTTCTATGTTCACTTCCTGTGTTCTTCCCTGTGTTCTACATTCACTTCCGTGTTCGGAACTTGCTACCACCCTTCCGTTTGCTGCCCTTGTTCTTTCTGTTCCTGTTCTTGTTTTTCAAAACACCGTGTTTTGTACTGGCTGGTAAGGAGTGGCTCTGGGCGTGGCTCCGAGCAGTGTTCCGCTTGGCATTCCGCTTCCGTCCGCCGAAGCCAAACTTCCGGTCCTTCATGGTTCGCTTGTTCTTCTTCCTGTAAGGAAGAACATAGTTAAGGTTGAACAAGCAATCATGTTCATCAGTATACCAGAGTGAACACGTGAACAAGGCACAATACCATGGAACTATTATTATAATCGTAATTAAGATGGGGCTGTCAGTGATGTATCAAAAGTGGAGCTGCCAGCTATAACGATAAAGTAAGGGTGTTAGAGCAGGAACCATGTCTATCAGCATGCCTGCTGATAGACATGGCAGTCTATTAAGACATGGCAAAGTGAAAGTGGAACCAGACAATTCTCCCTAAGATGGCCGTGAGTAAGACTGGCAAGTCTGATTACAAAATTGATGACACCAAGACCAGGATCCTCAACTCAGTTGATGAAATATAGCGTAGGACACGCCCGTATCTGCGAGGGATACTTTCCAAGGACCTGCTGTGGATACCAAAACCGTGGATGGTAGCAAATCCTATATACAGTAGCGCCCCAGTATCCACGAGGGATGTTCCAAGGACCTGCCACATACAGTAGGACCCCACATATATGGCAGGTTAGGTTCCATACTATCATCAGAAAGCAGACATCACTGTAAAGAGTTGTAAACTTGTTATATAGCAAATAAATGACAGATAACAAATTTACACCAACATATATTAAGTCAGCAATAGAACTAGGCATTAAAAACAATAAAAGCAAAATAAAATGTGCAAACAATACACTCATTACTTACCTTAAAATATTTGTAGTCTTTATGTAGGGTGAGAGGGGAGTCAACAAGATAAAATGAATGAGAGAATGAGTAAATGAGAGAGGACAGAGATGCAGTGTGTGTAAACAATCACACGAACGCGTCTGGTTATGGCTGATACACGTTCATTTCCATGTTTGTGAAGCTTATACCAAAATACAAACACCTTACATCATGTACAAGTTGTGTCCATGTTGGTACAGTAGAATAAATAAAGAGCAACACTCCCATTCTCATGTAATACCAATTTTAGAAGGAATGACACTCTGAGTGAAGACATACAAAAAGAATAATTTTCTACAGTTACCCTCAATAATACTATTGTGTACACATTTTCTTTGGTGCTGAACTAGCTAAAACATTATTCTTTCCGACGCTTCAACGACCGGAAAACATCTCATATTTGTTAATTTATTCTACTGTGGGGCGTATTTATCATGTTTATATGTTATGTAGCCTCTTTATTACATAATTTTGAGAAAATATAGATGGATTAATGAAAATGTCTATATTAACATAATATACAACTCTTAATGAATTTCAGAGTGATTATTATTGCATATTATTACGTATTATCATTATTAACATTGCATCTTCAAGACTAATAAGACACTCTTATTGACCTTTAATGTGTACCTGCATGCCAGCACAGTGTGTAAGTTTATTTAGGTACAGGTACACATAAATATAATTAACAGAGTATACAGCCTCTCCTCACTTAGCGACATAACTTATTTACTGACAACTCGGACTAACGACTGGTACTCTGACCAGTATGCATACCTAAATATTGTATATTAGAGCTGATTTCCTCTGTTCTGGTCAATACAACATACAGTACACCGCTGCATAATCATTTAAAAATACAGTGGTACCTCGAGTTACGAACTTAATTCATTCCAGAAGACTGTTCAAGTGCCAATACTGAATGAATTTGTTCCATAAGGAATAATGTAAATTAGATCAGTCTGTTTCAGACCTCCAAAAATACACTTACAAAAGCACTTACAAAAATACACTTACATAATTGTTCAAGTTGGGAGCTGTTCAAAACTCGAGGTACCACTGTATACTAAAAATGTTATAAAGGGCACAAAGGTGACATTAAAACAATATCAAAGATGGTTGACACAAACCCACCACCATTATAGTATGCTCCTTGCTTAGCAATGAATTTGTTTACCAACATGGTCTTAGGAATGGAACTCCGTCATTAAGTGAGGAGAGGTTGTATGTAAAAAAATTTCGACTTTAATGCACTTGAAATTTTAACCTGAAGGTGAAAAACACGAAGGGACCAAAAAATAAACCAAAAAGAGGATGCCCCAAAATTAAAAAAACCAAAACCTGCTACCAAGGTGCACAAAAAAACAAGAGACATTTTTCCACTAAAACTGAAAAACGGGCCTCCAAACAACTGAAAAAAATGTTAAATTTTGGAGGACAAAAAGGGAAAAAATCTAACAACCAAGGAAACAACAGGTCTGATGTGAGGGTTTTTTCCCTCATTGCCAAATTTGGAAAAAAAGGGGAACTTTAAACAGGGTGATACATCCCCTCTATTTTAAAGGAAACCCAGTCAACAACAGGATCCCCAACCCCGCTAGATACGAAGAAATTTGGGAGGGGATAACCCATGACGAAATTTTTTAATCCTCCCCAGGTTTGGAAATGGGTTAAAGTGTGAAGGAAAAAGCAAGACTGGAAGTGGGGGGTGAAGTGGGTTTGTGGGGTTAAAAAAGGGGACAGGTGAGGGGTAAAGGGGAGTTTTTTGAATAAGGGCGGGAAAACTATTTACAATCAGGGGTGATTGCTAGAGTGGCCTCTAAAAAATTGCAAGTTTAGATAGAAATTTCAGGGGGCCCCAAGAGAAAAAAGGGACAATTTTTTAAGAATTAAAAGGCGGGAGGAACCCTCCCAAAAAGGCCTACGGGCCCCATAAAAGGGGCGGGCCCCTTTATCAAAACGCTTCTCCCCAAAGAAACCCCAAAAAATTTTAAACCCCCGTCCCCCAATACCCCAAAAAAACCCCAAGCCCCCTCCCACTTAAATTTTGCCCAAAACTCTTCAAAAAGCTCCCCCAAGGCCCCTACCCAAATCCCCCAAAACGGGGAAGACTTTTCCCCACACACCCCACAACCCCTTTAGAAAAACCAGTACTTCCCTATGCCTTCAAAATCTAAATTTTTTCCAATTTTAAATCCATTTTTTTTTTTTGTTTTTTTTTTTTTTTTTTTTTTTTTGAAAAGGGGAGTGAAGCTGCCGGGCCATCAAGGGGTAAAAGCTTCATAATTTATATTTATTTTTTTTCCTGAAATTCACTAAGAAGGAAATCAGTCTTTAGGTCCGGGAAAAAAACGACTGGAAAATGGCCCCCCTGGACAGTGAAACCCCCCAAAAAATCCATCCTCCCAAAGAAACATAAATGTCACTTTTTTGCCGCAAGGAAAGGCAACCCCAAACTTTCCCATAAAAGAAAAAAACTGGCACCCCAGCCCTTTTTGGGGGGTTTTAAATTTGCATATTCAAACAAAATTCCGGGACCAAAAACAAAGTACAGGTGAAAACCCAAGCAGATTAGGTGCCCCTTTTAATCAGTGGAAAAGGGTTTTGGGTAGCTGTGGGTGGGTTATAAACGGTGATTGTTTTGGGAAGATTTGGGGTTGGGCACATAAGGTGCACATAAGGTGCCCCAAAATAAAATTAGTGATGATTTTATCTGAAGGATTTATTTAGCTAGGAATACCAACCAACTTTGTCTTTTAATGCTTTGAAAGGGGTTAAAAACATAAATACCATAGGAAAAATACAATTCCCCAAAAACCCCCAGCCCCATACTTTCCCACTATACTAAGAAAAAAAAAGGGGAAAAACAAAAAAACATCAAAAAGAAAAAATTTTTAAAAGGGGTGGGGGGGCATTATGGATTTTTTGGTCATTTAAAATTTTTTGTAAAAAGGGCCCCTCAAACCCCAAATTTAACCTTTAGTAGGGGTTACAAAAAAATTTCCCAAATTTTCCCTTAACCCCTTTTTCCCCCCATGCCAAAAATTGACCCTTATGACGTTTCGGGAAAAGACCCCCCTTCCCCCTTTTTAAAATTTTCAATGGAAAAGGTCCCTCTTACCCAAAAAGTCAAAATTGGGAAAATTTTTAGCAAACAGAACGGGGGCCCGGAAATTATATCCATCCCCATGGGGGCTCTTTTCCATAGGAACGCAAGCTGCATTTCCCCCCCCCCCCAATCTCACTGCCCAGACTTTGGACCTTTATAAACCTTTAACGCAAAAAATAATTTGCAACTGACACATAATTTAGGGGAAAAAATCTGTTGAAAGTTTTTTTCAGTGGCATTTATCCAAATTTTTTATTTTTTTTTTGAAAAAAAAAAAAAATTAATTAAAAAAAAAAATTTGGATGCATACGATAGTAAAAGTTTTACTGCGCTATGAGCCCCCCAATTATCCATCTCTAAATTTCGGTTTTGGATTCAGGGCGACGACGACAAGATAAAAAAGAAGGTTACAATCCCCAAAAGGGTGCTTAGACAAGAAAAAAAAACTTTGGTGGGGAATGTACCCTATGAAAAGAGAAATAACAGCCTAAAAACCCAAGACCTAATTTAAAAAAATTAAATTTGGAAAATTCTTTTGGCTTGAGGTGTTTTTTCCCCCAAACAAAAACCAAACCCTTTAGTAGGAACTATTGCTGCCCTCCCCACCCAATGATCACTTAGAGGTTTTTTTACAGTTTTGGGCCCGGGAACTAAATAAAAATTCCAAGACAAAAATTGGGGAGTTTACACAAAAAACCCCCACAAAAAAGGGGGAGAATTTTACGACACTTTGGGTCCGATTTTGGACCATTGACAAAACCCAAGGCCCAAAAGAGAAGAGAGAAGAAGAAGAGAAAAGCTTACACACGTTTTGGGGTCCCGACTTTGACCATTGACAAAGCAAGGGGCCAAGTCGGACCGAAACCCCGTCGAAAGTTTTCTCTTTTTTAAATGTGCGGGTTATTTTTGTATTTTTCCCCGCACGGTATTGTCCCTTTTTGTTTTTTACAATTTTGGGAGACTTCAAAAACTGTTTTCAACATTTAAAATAACAGCTAATACAGATATAAGTAAATTCGGGGATTAAAAAAAGGTTAAACACTAACTAATTAATGTCCCAACCCAAACACACATTTCTCGGGCCCCCATACTCGACCATTACTACCTTTTTTAAAACCCCTCTGGTAACTTTTAGTCACCACATCTTTAACCACAGGATTTTAGTAAAT